GCAAAAGCTAATGGGGATCCTAATAAAATACCAAAAATACCAAATGGACTGATAAGTGGATGCACGTAGCATTCCGGCAACTTTGAGAAAAACAACTTAGTTGTGCCTGTTGTTCACACGCGTATCTGCCCTCGCATTGGCTAAAATGGTTCCACCTGATCTCGCCTGCCTTCCATCATTGAGGGCATGTACAGTGAGGGAAAAAAGTATTTGATCCCCTGCTGATTTTGTACATTTGCCCACTGACAAAGACATGATCAGTCTATAATTTTAATGGTAGGTATATTTGAACAGTGAGAGACAAAATAACAACAAAAAAATCCAGAAAAACGTATGTCAAAAATGTTATAAATTGATTTGCATTTTAATGAGGGAAATAAGTATTTGACCCCTCTGCAAAACATGACTTAGTACTTGGTGGCAAAACCCTTGTTGGCAATCACAGAGGTCAGATGTTTCTTATAGTTGGCCACCAGGTTTGCACATATCTCAGGAGGGATTTTGTCCCACTCCTCTTTGCAGATCTTCTCCAAGTCATTAAGGTTTCGAGGCTGACGTTTGGCAACTCGAACCTTCAGCTCCCTCCACAGATTTTCTATGGGATTAAGGTCTGGAGACTGGCTAGGCCACTCCAGGACCTTAATGTGCTTCTTCTTGAGCCACTCCTTTGTTGCCTTGGCCGTGTGATTTGGGTCATTGTCATGCTGGAATACCCATCCACGACCCATTTTCAATGCCCTGGCTGAGGGAAGGAGGTTCTCACCCAGGATTTGACGGTACATGGCCCCGTCCATCGTCCCTTTGATGCGGTGAAGTTGTCCTGTCCCCTTAGAAGAAAAACACCCTCAAAGCATAATGTTTCCACCTCCATGTTTGACGGTGGGGATGGTGTTCTTGGGGTCATAGGCAGCATTCCTCCTCCTCCAAACACGGCGAGTTGAGTTGATGCCAAAGAGCTCGATTTTGGTCTCATCTGACCACAACACTTTCACCCAGTTCTCCTCTGAATCATTCAGATGTTCATTGGCAAACTTCAGACGGCCCTGTATATGTGCTTTCTTGAGCAGGGGGACCTTGCGGGCGCTGCAGGATTTCAGTCCTTCACGGCGTAGTGTGTTACCAATTTTTTTCTTGGTGACTATGGTCCCAGCTGCCTTGAGATCATTGACAAGATCCTCCCGTGTAGTTCTGGGCTGATTCCTCACCGTTCTCATGATCATTGCAGCTCCACGAGGTGAGATCTTGAATGGAGCCCCAGGCCGAGGGAGATTGACAGTTATTTTGTGTTTCTTCCATTTGCGAATAATCGCACCAACTGTTGTTACCTTCTCACCAAGCTGCTTGGCGATGGTCTTGTAGCCTATTCCAGCCTTGTTTCGGTCTACAATCTTGTCCCTGACATCCTTGGAGAGCTCTTTGGTCTTGGCCATGGTGGAGGGTTTGGAATCTGATTGATTGATTGCTTCTGTGGACAGGTGTCTTTTATACAGGTAACAAGATGAGATTAGGAGCACTCCCTTTAAGAGTGTGCTCCTAATCTCAGCTCGTTACCTGTATAAAAGACACCTGGGAGCCAGAAATCTTTCTGATTGAGAGGGGGTCAAATACTTATTTCCCTCATTAAAATGGAAATCAATTTGTAACATTTTTTACATGCATTTTTCTGGATTTTTTTGTTGTTATTTTGTCTCTCACTGTTCAAATAAACCTATCATTAAAATTATAGACTGATCATTTCTTTGTCAGTGGGCAAACGTACAAAATCAGCAGGGGATCAAATACTTTTTTCCCTCACTGTATTTCCATTGTTATTGCGGTCACTGGAATATCTTGTCAATACATCAGATAATCTTTGCACACACTAAGGTGGAAGTGTTGTTTCTATCTTCACTAAGCAGAGCAACAAACCAAGTTACCAATCTGACTGCTGTATTGTAAAACAGGTGTATTTGCAACTCTTCACCACCAAGGGTCAGTGTGGTATAATTTTAACAAAAGAGTACCAAAAGGCCATTTCGGATACAGATTCCTCACATTTATTTTCTTGTTCTGTTAATGCCTGTGCAAGGTTAAGAGTTACAAAATCGACTTACTATATAATGATCATATATATCCTGTTTCTATCATTCCATGTTATTCATACATACAGGTAATTTTTTACTTTATGCATATTCTTTTCCATTTGAAACATATCTATAACACTTGAAACATGTGTTTTGCTGATTAATGATCCCTCATATAATACATACAGGAACACGTACCACCAAGCAAGCAAGTCCATCTATATACTGTACAACTCCAAAGTAGGCCTACAAGAAAACAGTGGTTAATGTGCAATCTAGTTCACCAAGTAAGAAACCTGGCTACATGTAACAGCACAACTAACCCTGTTACGTACACTGATGCTCTTATGTCTTCATACACATAACTGTATCAATATACTGTACATACAGTATGCAGGATCAACTAGTTCAGGCTCACAGAGAATAACCAAATCAGATCAGTGCATTATTCTCTTTAGTAGACTTGGTCGGGTCATGACAAGGTGTTTGCTCTTTTCTTGAGGTACCACCGCTAATCTCAATCTGGAGAGAGAGCGAGAGAGAGAGATTGTAATAAATCTTCCTATCTGCAGAGGAATAAGACGCTAGTCTCAGACTCCCAGCTCACAAACACCAAGCTTCCATTTGAGATGGTTTGTTATTCTGACAACCAACCACAGATATACAGGGCCTTAGGAAAGTATTCAGACCCCTTTACTTTTTCCCTCATTTTGTTACGTTACAGCCTTATTCTAAAATGGATTAAATAAATAAACATCTTCACCAATCTACACACAATACCCCATAATGACAAAGCGAAAACAAGTTTTTAGAAATGTTTGCAAATGTATTAAAACTAAAAAACAGAAATACCTTACTTACATAAGTATAGAGACCCTTTGCTAAGAGACTCGAAATTGAGCTCAGGTGCAACCTGTTTCCATTGATCATCCTTGAGATGTTTCTACAACTTGATTGGAGTCCACCTGTGGTAAATTCAATTGATTGGACATGATTTGGAAAGGCATACACCTGTCTATATAAGGTCCCACAGTTGACAGTGCATGTCAGAGCAAAAACCATGAGGTCGAAGGAATTGCCCATAGAGCTCCGAGACAGGATTGTGTCGAGGCACAGATCTGGGGAAGGGTACCAAATCATTTCTGCAGCATTGAAGTTCCCCAAGAACACAGCGGCCTCCATCATTCTTAAATGGAAGAAGTTTGGAACCACCAAGACTCTTCCTAGAGTTGGCCGCGCGGCCAAACTGAGCAATCAGGGGAAAAGGGCCTTGGTCAGGGAGGTGATCAAGAACCCAATGGTCAATCTGACAGAGCTCTAGAGTTCCTCTGTGGAGATGGAAGAACCTTCCAGGAGGACAACCACCTCTGCAGCACTCCACCAATCAGGATTTATAGTAGAGTGGCCAGACGGAAGCCACTCCTAAGTAAAAGGCACATGACAGCCCGCTTGGAGTTCGCCAAAAGGCACCTAAAAACTCTCAGACCATGAGAAACAAGATTCTCTGGTCTGATGAAACCAAGATTCAACTCTTTAGCCTGAATGCCAAGCGTCACATCTGGAGGAAACCTGGCACCATCCCTACGGTGAAGCATGGTGGTGGCAGCATCATGCTGTGGGGATGTTTTTCAGCGGCAGGGACTGGGAGACTAGTCAGGATCGAAGCAAAGATGAATGGAGCAAAGTACAGAGAGATCCTTGATGAAAACCTGCTCCAGAACGCTCAGGACCTCAGACTGGGGCGAAGGTTCACCTTCCAACAGGACAACGACCCTAAGCACACAGCCAAGACAACGCAGGAGTTGCTTCGGGACAAGTCTCTGAATGTCCTTGAGCGGCCCAGCCAGAGCCCGGACTTGAACCCAGTCAAACATCTCTGGAGAGACCTGAAAATAGCTGTGCAGCAACGCTCCCCATCCAACATGACAGAGCTTGAGAGGATCTGCAGAGAAGAATGGGAGAAACTCCCCAAATACAGATGTGCCAAGCTTGTAGCGTCATAGCCAAGAAGACTCAATGCTGTAATCGCTGCCAAAGGTGCTTCAACAAAGTACTGAGTAAAGGGTCTGAATACTTATGTAAATGTTATATTACTGTTTTTCAATTTGAATAAATTAGCAAAAAATTATAACCTGTTTTTGCTTTGTCATTATGGGGTATTGTGCGTAGATTGATGAGGAGGAAAAAACTATTTAATCAATTTTAGAATAAGGCTGTAATGTAACAAAATGTGGAAAAGGCCAAGGGGTCTGAATACTTTCCCGAAGGCACTGTATCTCTATGGCTAGAACAGTAAACAAAGAGTTATCCAGCGCATCCCTTTGATCAGGTTTGTTCTGTGGCAGTTATGTGCCACATGGGGAGAGTAGGAACATCCTATATAATGATTATCATAGTAGGGTTCATGTTTCTTCTGAGTGATTCATAATCTTCACCGACAAGCACACAGTCAATACTGGTGGATGTTCAGCTGTCAATAAACCATTTAATCAGCCCTCATTCTACATGTTGAATCCAACCACCTACTAGTTAGTGGTCGATATTGTTCACACAGAGACAAGGTCTCAATGTGTCTGTTGTCAGAGCCAGTGGAAATGAAGAAGACTCTGATGTTAATAAGTCAGTCAGGTGCCGGTTTGGAGAAAAGTTAGTCTCAGACCGTTTCTTTACAGATATCCACACATTATAATATCGGGATGGACGAACAAGGAGTTACGGAATATAGATATGCCTTCAGTAGCAGGATTTTCAGAAACACGAACCCCCCTAAAACATTTTGCCAGTTATTTTACAGGCTCTTCATTTTAGCCTTCTAGGACACCCATGTGTGGATGCGCAGCGTCCTATATAGGGAAGCCTGCTCAGTCAGTTCTTACTATAGTTCCTGGGCTGTCTGTGACTGCTGCAGCCTGCTCAGCCAGGCTACATGTTACCCTGTTTGTCTGAGGACGAGGAGGAAGTGGAGGGGGACGGGGATGGTGCCTTGGGGAACACCCTGTCTGTGGGGGTGATAGAGGCTGGACTACCCATGCCTGAGGAGCTGGAACTACTGGACCGGTGCTGCCCATGTCCCGGGTGAATGGGGGCAGGCCGGAGGGGTCTGACCGGCGGCGGCCTCAGGGGGGCGATGGGCCTCCGTGCAGTCGGTTTGAAGGTGCTCATTGTCTCGGCGGACGAGGAACAGCTGCTACGGCGTAGGGCAGCGTCAGGGTCCCGGATGGCCATGGTGTTAGTGTGGAGGGGGCTGCCGCAGGCCTCAGAGGGGGGTCCGGACCCACCGGAGGAGGGGTGCTGCTGCTTCAGGGGCTCCAAGGTGTCCAGGACCACATCGGGAGCGTGCTTGGCCACGTTCTGACGCTCCAGCTCACGCAGCTCGTGCAGGGCGGTGTTCATGGTCTTCTCTATGTCCTGTAACACATACACAGTTTCACTAAATACTGACATGAATCCTGTGTCTTATGTCCTGCAACATCTTGGCTGTCCATCGTAGTCGATGATGACAATACTCTCTTACACACGCACACAGAGTATTAGACACCATTCTATCAAAATAAAAAAGAATGGCCCATTCAGACATCTGCTCTGATGTATTGTTCATTCTCAAACAAAACATTGACGTACCAACTCTTCAGAATAAACACCAAACAGTTTTCTTGTTGAAAGCAGAGACAAATGGACAAATGAACACTTCACAAACAGTTCCAATATTCTCTCTCTAATGAAGCACACAAAGGGAGCAATACATCATAATGGCGCCGGAGAAGATGGCTGCCGTTTTACAGCCCTCTAACCAATTGTACTATTATGTGTGTTTTTCCGCGTTATTTGTAATTTATTTTGTACATAATGTTTCTGCCATCGTCTCTTATAACCAAAAAGAGCTTCTGGATATCAGGACAGCGATTACTCACCTCGTATTGGACAAAGATTTTTTCTTCAACGAGGCGGCCGCGAAGGATATCCTACAGACACCCGACAAGGCACAAATCCCCGTCATTCGCATGAGGAAGAGACGTAGGTCGGGGTGCCTTGTAAGGATCCGACGGCGAGCGAGTAAACTGCCGCTCCCATCAATCCTATTAGCCAATCTTCAATCATTTGAGAATAAATTGGATGACCTAAGATTACGGTTATCCTACCAACGGGACATAAAAAACTGTAATATCTTATGTTTCACCGAGTCGTGGCTGAACGACGACATGGACAACATACAGCTAGCGGGCTATACGCTACATCGGCAGGATAGAACGGCTGACTCCGGTAAGACAAGGGGTGGCGGTCTGTGTATATTTGTAAACAACAGCTGGTGCACAAAATCTAAGGAAGTCTTGAGGTTTTGCTCGCCTGAGGTAGAGTATCTTATGAGAAGCTGTAGACCACACTACTTTACCAAGAGAGTTTTCATCTATATTTTTCATAGCTGTCTATTTACCACCACAAACCAATGCTGGCATTAAGATTGCACTGAATGAGCTGTATAAGGCCATAAGTCAACAGGAAAACGCTCATCCAGAGGCAGCACTCCTAGTGGCCGGGGACTTTAATGCAGGGAAACTTAAATCCGTTCTACCCAATTTAGATTTACATTTACATTTTAGTCATTTAGCAGACGCTCTTATCCAGAGCGACTTACAGTTAGTGAGTTTTTTTTTTTTTTTTTTCATACTGGAATCAAACCCACAACCCTGGCGTTGCAAACGCCATGCTCTACCAACTGAGCTACATCCCTGCCGGCCATTCCCTCCCCTACCCTGGACGACGCTGGGCCAATTGTGCGCCGCCCCATGGGTCTCCTGGTCGCGGCCGGCTACGACAGAGCCTGGATTCGAACCAGGATCTCTAGTGGCACAGCTAGCACTGCGATGCAGTGCCTTAGACCACTGCGCCACTCGGGAGACAGCATGTTAAATGTGCAACCAGAGAAAAAAAAAAAAAAACTCTAGACCACCTTTACTCCACACAAAGCTCTCCCTCGCCCTCCATTTGGCAAATCTGACCATAACTCTATCCTCCTGATTCCTGCTTATAAGCAAAAACTAAAGCAGGAAGCACCAGTGACTCGGTTAATAAAAAAGTGGTCAGATGACGCAGATGCTAAGCTACAGGAATGTTTTGCTAGCACAGACTGGAACATGTTCCGGGATTCTTCAGATAGCATTGAGGAGTACACCACATCAGTCACTGGCTTCATCAATAAGTGCATCAATGATGTCGTCCCCACAGTGACTGTACGTACATACCCCAACCAGAAGCCATGGATTAAAGGAAACATCCGCACTGAGCTAAAGGGTAGAGCTGCCGCTTTCAAGGAGCGGGACTCTAACCCGGACGCTTATAAGAAATCCCGCTATGCCCTCCGACGAACCATCAAACAGGCAAAGAGTCAATACAGGACTAAGATTGAATCGTACTACACCGGCTCTGATGCTCGTCGGATGTGGCAGGGCTTGAAAACTATTACAGACTACAAAGGGAAGCACAGCCGCGAGCTGCCCAGTGACACAAGACTTCCAGACGAGCTAAACCACTTCTATGCTCGCTTCGAGGCAAGCAACACTAAAGCATGCATGAGAGCACCAGCTGTTCCGGATGACTATGTGATCACGCTCTCCGTAGCCGATGTGAGTAAGACTTTTAAGCAGGTCAACATTCACAAGGCCGCAGGGCCAGACGGATTACCAGGACGTGTACTCCGAGCATGTGCTGACCAACTGGCAAGTGTCTTCACTGACATTTTCAACATGTCCCTGACTGAGTCTGTAATACCAACATGTTTCAAGCAGACCACCATAGTCCCCGTGCCCAAGGACTCTAAGATAACCTGCCTAAATGATTACCGACCCGTAGCACTGACGTCTGTAGCCATGAAGTGCTTTGAAAGGCTGGTCATGGCTCACATCAACACCATTATCCCAGAGACCCTAGACCCACTCCAATTTGCATACCGCCCCAACAGATCCACAGATGATGCAGTCTCTACTGCACTCCACACTGCCCTTTCCCACCTGGACAAGAGGAACACCTACGTGAGAATGCTATTAATTGACTACAGATCAGCATTCAACACCATAGTGCCCTCAAAGCTCATCACTAAGCTAAGGATCCTGGGACTAAACACCTCCCTCTGCAACTGGATCCTGGACTTCCTGACGGGCCACCCCCAGGTGGTAAGGGTAGGTAACAACACATCTGCCACACTGATCCTCAACACAGGGGCCCCTCAGGGGTGCGTGCTCAGTCCCCTCCTGTACTCCCTGTTCACCCATGACTGCATGGCCAGGCACGACTCCAACACCATCATTAAGTTTGCTGACGACACAACAGTGGTAGGCCTGATCACCGACAACGATGAGACAGCCTATAGGGAGGAGGTCAGAGACCTGGCCGTGTGGTGCCAGGATAACAACCTCTCCCTCAACGTGACCAAGACAAAGGAGGTGATTGTGGACTACAGGAAAAAAAAGAGGACTGAGCAGGCCCCCATTCTCATCGACGGGGCTGTAGTGGAACAGGTTGTGAGCTTCAAGTTCCTTGGTGTCCACATCACCAACGAACTATCATGGTCCAAACACACCAAGACAGTCGTGAAGAGGGCACGACAAAGCCTATTCCCCCTCAGGAGACTGAAAACATTTGGCATGGGTCCTCAGATCCTCAAAAAATTCTACAGCTGCACCATCGAGAGCATCCTGACTGGTTGCATCACCGCCTGGTATGGCAACTGCTTGGCCTCAGACCGCAAGGCACTACAGAGGGTAGTGCGTACAGCCCAGTACATCACTGGGGCCAAGCTTCCTGCCATCCAGGACCTCTATACCAGGCGGTGTCAGAGGAAGGCCCTCAAAATTGTCAAAGACTCCAGCCACCCTAGTCATAGACTGTTCTCTTTGCTACCGCACGGCAAGCGGTACCGGAGTAATAATATAATAATAATATGCCATTTAGCAGACGCTTTTATCCAAAGCGACTTACAGTCATGTGTGCATGAATTTTTACGTATGGGTGGTCCCGGGGATCGAACCCACTACCCTGGCGTTACAAGCGCCATGCTCTACCAATTGAGCTACAGAGTGCCAAGTCTAGGTCCAAAAGACTTCTCAACAGCTTCTACCCCAAGCCATAAGACTCCTGAACAGCTAATCATGGATACTCGGACTATTTGCACTGCCCCCCCCCCACCCCATATTTGTACGCTGCTGCTACTCTGTTAATTATTTATGCATAGTCACTTTAACTCTACCCACATGTACATATTACTTAAACTACCTCAACTAGCCAGTGCCCCCGCACATTGACTCTGCACCGGTACCCCCCTGTATATATAGCCTCCCTACTGTTATTTTATTTTACTTTACTTATTTTACTTTTATTTTACTTACTTTATTTTACTCTCAACACTTTTTTGTTGTTTTATTCTACTTTTTTATTAAAAATAAATGCACTGTTGGTTAAGGGCTGTAAGTATGCATTTCACAGTAATATCTGCACCTGTTGTATTCCGCGCATGTGGCCAATAAAATTTTATTTTATTTTATTTAAATGTGGAGCTAGCAGCAGCTAACAGACTGTGAACAGTAATTAGGAAATTAGAAACTGGGGTCATAGAATGGGCCTCTCTCTCAGATGTCCTTCCTACTGATGCCTTTGTTCCTCTGTGTCCTGCCTGGGATCAATTGAATGTACTGGACACATTTTTTTTCTCTCTCTCACACACACAGACACAGACACACACGCACGCACACACGCACGCATGAGAATATCCTCATTAGTTTTCCACTGAACAACTCTAAACCTGGCTGCACTGGCAGGAAATAGGTCAAGAACAGCCCCTATGTATTATGAATAATAAGGGCCGTTTGGTCTTGTCTGACTTCACCCACTGAATCAATTGCTTTTAGCCAGCTATAGTTGTATTTCATAATTGTCAAGTCTTTATTGCAGTGATTTGAGTCTCACTTCTGCATACCCCGATAAAGGCTCTTTAGCCAAAACTTTGGTTAAATAACTCCACAAGCAAGGAGCAACTTTATTTTTTCAATAGGTTAGTTTATCGTCCGTTAGTCAGCGCCTCACCTTTTGGCTGTTATGAGTTCTTTATTGCTTTACTTCATAGACTCTCACCTCTGCCAGGGCCTCGGCCTCCAGTGATTTGTGGTCACCAAGGCTACCATGGCGGGTGGAGCCGGGGGATGCTCTGAGGACGGGGCCATCGGGGAAGCACTTCCTGTCTGGGTGGTTGATACTTCCTGCGCTGCCGAACGTGCCGAGATGGCGTTTCTCTGGACTGTCCATGTGGCCCCTGCTGACGGCCATCTTGTGAGGGCTGCAGGGGCGAGGTATGACCCTAGGGGGCATGTCCATACCTCTGGTGGGGCTGTGGGTGTCGGCTGTGCTCCTGCGGTGAGGGATAGCAGCACCATCTGAACGAACCCTCACCCTGTTGAGCCACAACACAGAGCAGACAGACTGTCAGGACAGCATCTTAGCAACGACAGGACTGGACAGGGTGTAAGCATGGTGCAGATATAAAATATAGCTCATTCAATACAACTACACTAAATGAACCATTATTATGTTGACTCCTCATGGAGGGAAAACATCTCATCCTGCATGTGTCTAGAAAACCTGCATTAACCTGCATTTCTTCTGTGAACTGTGAGCATGAATCAACCAAGCTACCTTCCCAAAGCAGCTCCATAGCGGTGTTCAGGGGTATGCTGTGTGTGTTCGCAGGGGGAGCTGCGGTCATGGTCATGGTTCCTTGATGAGGTCCTGTCTCTGTCCTCCTGGTGGGGTCCACTACTGGCTTCACTCTCAGCCTTCCCACTCAGACTGTCTGAGAATGCATCGTCCCTGAGGTAACAGAGAGACAGAGAGGAAGACAGGAGGTTTACTCATCAGTTCTTTGTATGCTGGCAAGTGCAACAAACAATTACACCAATTTAATTTTGCGAGTCACTGCAAATTATCAGGACTTTGCCGGATACCCTTACACCAAAGACTATCCTAAACTATCACCTCAACAAACACAATAACAGGTCCTTCAGAATCATAATCTAACTCATAATGAAATGTCAATGTCATCTGCTGACTTCAAGGCATCATTAACAAGCACAACACCCATTCCCTGGTTACCCTGGGCCCCCTTATGATGTGAATCAATAGGCCTGAGGATCAGCTGGAGATGAGTGTGTATGCATCTCAAATGGCATCCTATTCCTTTTATAGTGCACTACTTTTGACTAGGGCTCTGAACAAAAGTAGTGCACTATAAAGGCAATAGGTTGCCATTTGGGACACATCCTGTTTCTTCTCCCTAATTAGGGTTTAATTATGCCGTCTCACGGTGATGGATGGTGATTGGCTGTCGGGCAGAATTCTGGAAGGATAAATGACCAGTTACAGAGTGACCTTAACGTTCCGTCTTTGTCATGAGTAGGTGTTGCCTCCGGAGACTGAGGAGAGGAGAGGCTCTTATACTTATTATAAAAACAAAAAACTATGTTTTAAGTGAGAAGTAGGCATTGGTCTGAAGCCGAAAAAGAAATGAAATTCACATGAGCACCACAATGCTTACTCCACCCATGCTCTACCAAGGTTTTCCAGCAGACATTTTTGACATACTACAGTAGCTATGTTGGTATATTCTACTTCAAACAATGTGTATGCAGGTTGCTTAGAATTCAAACCTTCTCAAACAGCCTAATTCATACTCTACGAGGTGCTCCCACAATAATGTGATTTGTTCCGCATACAAGTTAACGTATTGGATTCTTCAAACACCACACCAATCCCATTCCACTACCTTTTCAAGCTTTTTGTATTATTATATGAAAACAAGCTTTGCTTTTATACTTACAAGACCATCATGCGAGATTGAGCGAGCTGTTTTGTCTTGTAGTAATGTGGTGCCTGTCTGTATTTCCTTAAAACCTTTTTTATCTAGCAATACATGTCAGTAGGTGCCCAACATAACACCAGGTGGTGGTGTGTTGGACACAGTCACACATATATAGAGGTCTATAGAGCCTGTCTGCATTCCTGATTTCTGTAACCGTTATCTTACCTGTGTAATATTGACATAAACTCAGAAACACTTGTTTTGCAAACATGGTGGTTTTCTCAATTGCTGTGCTGATCAATGGGCAGTTTATTACCTCAGTCAAATGAATATGTAGCTCAAAGTTGTGTGTATTTGTATTTATTTATTTTTGCAATAAAGATGGTGATGCTACAATACATATTTACAATAGGCCTATATCAAAAAATACATACAGCCTAATGATATATATACACATTATTTTAATAGCAGGACACTGTAAAGTCCATTATGCCACTGAAGAGTATGAATTAGGCTGTTTGAGAAGGTTTGAATCTGAAGCAACCTGCATACACAATGTTTGAAGTACAATAGACCAACATAGCTGTTGTAGGTCAAAGCTGTGTGCTGGAAGATAACAATAACATGCCATTTTTATTTAGCAGACGCTTTTATCCAAAGCGACTTACAGTCATGTGTGCATACGTTTTTACGTATGGGTGGTCCCGGGGATCGAACTCACTACCCTGGCGTTACAAGCGCCATGCTCTACCAATTGAGCTACAGAGGAAAACCTTGGTAGAGCCTAGGTGGAGTAGACCAATGCCTACTTCTCACTTAAAACATATTTTTTTGTTTTGAATTTCCATGGTTTTTACACTGGGAGGTGATTACGCAACATTATTGTACAACATTAATATACAGCATAACACAGCAATACAAGTAAAAATACACTATAATGACAAATAGCAACAAAAATAATGTCGTTATTAGTATTTATTTAATATTAATAGCTGATTTTCCAGAGGAAAGTGAAAAACCAGAAACCAATTTAAGCCAATATGGACTAAACTCGAAAAAATTATCCCTGATCTCTTTTAAAAAGACAATCGAGCAAGCTCCTGGAAAATACACAAATAATCAAAATGTAGCCTACCCATTAACTATTTACATACATTATTGACTGTCACATTAGGTGGCTCGGAGAGCAAGGCATGAAGTGACACAAACTGCTCAGTGTTTGTGCCTGTGCTACTTCTCCCCCTGACATCCTAGTCATCCACCTCGGTGAAAACGACTTGGGATACACCAATGGGACAGCACTGATGCGGCCTGCAAGACCGGAGAAGGGTGCAATTTCGGCCTGCAATTTGGGGCCTTCCTGCATGTGGGAATTCCTAGGACTCCGGTACACAGGCAGGAGCGCTCTAGTACAGTAGGTGGCGGTAATGCACTATAACGTTGGAGGCCAACCGCCAATAAACCCCACAGAAGCAGAGGAGGGGGCGACAACGCCGGTAGCTAGCTAGCTAGACAGTGTCCTTCTCCCCTGCCTGCGAAGTACACTGGGTGCTAGCTAGGTAGCTAACTAGGACTCCGGTACACAGCAGGCGGGATAGGTAGCTAGCTCGCACACCGGTAGACAGTGTACTTTGCCCCCACCTGTCAGGCACAGTTTTCCCGCCGTTCTGTTAACGGCGAAAGGTGTTTGGCAGGCGGGAGCGAAGGACACTGTGTGCTAGCTAGAGGAGTCCGTACACAGCAGGCGGGAGGCAGTGGTGACACCGGTAGCTAGCTAGGACACCGGTAGACAGTGTCCTTCGCCACCGAAAAACTCAGATACTTTTATTTCCCTTTTCTTTTGACCCACATTTTAATCGCAGGGGAAATCCAGAATATCAAAAGTGTCACACAAGCATGAAGATCGCGTGCTCGAGGGGGTTATGCAATGGGATGCCCGAATTGCAGGCCGCAACCACAAATTATTGGCAAGACGCGTGCAGTAGTACACACACACACCTCAGTCCATTGCCAGTCAACAATGCTCTTTTAAGAGACAACTAATAATTGAAAATAAAGCACGCACCGTGCGTGCGTGCAGGCTGGTGTGTGTGTGTGTGTGTCCGGACTGGTTTGTCAAAACTACATGAAAGAAAATAGTCAAAATGTCCTTCCATAGCATAATATAGCTAGCTTCCTTTGCTTGTAGCTTGTCTCTCATCTGACTGGTGTTAGATAGCTACTAGCGCTGTTGCTGCGCAACCCAAGTGCTTTGGTCCGATTTTAGAACTGAAATTCGGCTGAAAATATGTTAGCATTGTCAGAAATGCTACAAAAAGGTAGCAAATCGTTGGTTTTTAATGGACAGAAATTAGCGATAAATTATAAATATAATAAAAACGGTTGCCCCTACAAACCTATTCAGTTCAAAAGGTGACAAGTCTTATGGTCACTTTATGGACGCTGTAGTCTCGTTCATATCCAACACCTAGATATTGAGCTAGGTCGGGGCAAGAAATGTCTCTTTTTTTCCTAATGCTAACGACCCTGTTAAAAATCCGGTAAGTGGTTCCCGGAAACGGCCAGATGGCTCATGTCCAGAGGCGGGGAGTGTGTTGTGTACCTTCAATCAAGATGATTTGCAAATTTTCATATTGGCTTAGATATGATGGTAGGAAGATAGGGAGAATTTACCATTGAGCTTCAACCAATGCATATACTATTGCGGGGACTAATTGGGGATTTATTTGCTTTGAAGTGCTTGGTGCTTATAAATGCCAACTGCATCATTGATACAATAACAGACTGTCTGGTGCATACTGTATGCCAACTGCTGCATTGATACAGTAACAGACTAATGCCCTTTGGGCACAGTTAATCTGTTAACTGTTATTGACCAAATACAGCTGGTGGATGGGACAGTGCACATGGACTAACATAACCTGGAGGACCACAGTGTCCTTGTGCAGAGTCTGTCTCTAGTCTACTCAGAAATACAATATACATTTTTATCCTAAACAGAGCCATGTAGCATTTGAGTAGTTGGTAGCATTCGAGCAGTTACATAGAAATGTGACATATATGAAGTGCTCATTCTGTACATACATGTCCTGCACCACGATGTACTGATGTGGGATGAGTCCGTCCACTCCGTTGTGTCGTCCCTCCCACCAGTCATCAGAGGCTCTCAGGTACAACAGCAGGGATGCACCCTTCTTAAAGGACAGCTCTCTGGGAGTACGCCCCACGTAGTCAAACTTAGCGATGGCCTCGATCTGCTCCAGTTCGTCGTCACTGGTGGGAGGTCCTGTACCGTTGTCCACTTCATCAATGGCACCTGGCTCACTATGGGGACTGTCACTGAATGGTGTGGGAGAGAGATAGAGAAAAAATTTATACATTCATTTATTGATTCATAGATGTAGATAAGGATAAAGAACGACACAGTGTAGTGCTTTGGGATAAACTACATCAACAAGAGGGTAAAGTCATTTGAAACACAGAACTGGATGCAGTGTCCTAACCCCCTTCTCTCCATTGGTTATTCTCCATCCTCTCTCCCATCCAATCAGAACCAAGGCAAAGTATAATATGACATCACTAACCAGTACTCCTCTCCTCCAGCCATGCACTTCTCATAGACCGGTCCGTCCAGCTCACAATGACTCGGGAAGATGACCTCGTTGTGGATGATGATGGTCTTGATGACCTCATTAACGTGCGTCTGGCAGGCCACAGGATCATGGTCATCAGGTATGGGCATCAGAGTCGGGCCGAAGCAGGTAGCCAGGTTGTAGGGATCCATCATGTTCTCATCACTGTACTGGGATAGACTGGAGAGAAACAATTGGGAATTAACAACAACAAAAAAGTTTCCATAATACAGTATGGATATACTTATTAGGTTTGTTCATAAACACATATGTTTTTATAATGTAGAACCAATGACTCAACATTCTTTATACGTTTTGTCTTTTCCTCATTTAATGAGGAGGACTACCATCCTCTTCCTCCCTGGATGAGCCACCTCTGAACACCATCTTTCCTATTGGATTTCTCAATAAACACATAACATTATTATGGTGTTATTACGACTTACTGTTTGATATATAGACTTAGTGATTGATATATGGACTTACTGGTTGAGGAATGCAAACAGGTATCTCATGACGATGATGACAGGGCGAGAAAGAGTTACAACGATCTGCTGAAGGTGATGAGCTCTCTCTGCACCAGAGTCTAGTTCTGAGAGAGACAGGGAGAGGGGTGGGAAGAGGGAGAGGGGGGAGATATACAGTTGTATTGTATCACTCTATCTACTTTACTATAGTAAACATATTTATTATAGCATTCCAAACAATTATTAATCAATTACTATCTAAATCCTGCATCTGCCCCAGTGGAGTACAGTAGTCCAGTCCTTACTGATGGTTGCTATGAGGTCATTGTACATTAGCAGTACAGTAGTAGTAGTACTTACTGATGGTAGACATGAGGTCGAGGAAGCGTTCTTTGGGGAACAGTGGGGTCTCCAGCCCCCTGAAGTACAGCTTCAGAACACCTGCCACCGCCATGATGTCATGGTCACTCTGGTCGTCCACCAATGGGTCCTCACCTAGGGGCATCACATGATACGAGTCACACAAGCTGTCAACCATCCAGTCACACTACTGTAAGCTTGCTGGATATTCAACTGTGAATGTTGAATCTATATAACCCAAGTCATGCTTGTGTGAAAAGTAAATCTGCTTTGTAAACTGAATGTTTTGTTAAAGAAACGCATTAAGCTTGTAAAAACACAGTCAGCCGTCATGTAATACAATATAACACCTCATTAACTAGTCTGTAGGAAAAAGTCTCAGCTTTCTCTATAGATAGATATTAGATGGTCAATGACAAACATTAGCTAGCCGACAAAAATAACAAAGATATATTTGTAAAGGTGTCAGTATGGTATTTTCGCCGAACTAGCATTTCTGTTAAGAATGTGGTAGCTACTGCTGCTGTACATCTAAAATAGCTTTTCATGTCAGTTACAGGGTCATTCATGGCATGTGTACTCTCTATGTATCCATCTGCACTTTACAGTCCTAGAGGGAGGGTCTGTGGCATTCTGAGGCAGACCAAACGCAATTAAAAAACGATCAGGCAGGATATGGGGCTTCGCTCGGACCGACCTCTCTCAAATGAATTTTTTATATCGTTGACTTCGACCTGGGAGCCAGGAATCCTGAATATGCCCTGCTGCTGAAGGCCTGTTGGAGAAACCCAAGTCAGCATTTAGATGGAAACAAATCTGGCAACACACACACACAGACACACATAGACAGAGACACAAAGACAGAGACACGCACACAAACACACAACTAAACTCAAACGTTGATATTCACAAGAAGAGTGTAGTAGGTCCACAGCCCAAACAGCCATTAGTAACATAATCTCTGTCTGTCCACTACATGCTAGTTTCCATATTCAAAATTCCAAGATGAGAAACTACATCACAGAGATCCAAAATTGAGGTTTTACTGTAGTATATTCAACTCTATGGACTGCATACAGTATCTATCAATTCATTAATGTGTTATTCTTACCATATAGATTGATGTAGCGGACACAGCTCTCAACCACCACTGGTATTGCCTGCCCAGAGTCCTAACAGAGAGGCAGAGAGAGGTGTAGAGAGAGAGGTAAGGTGACTCTCTAAGGTGACTCTCCACAGGTTATGAGCGTGAACACAGCACATGAATAAATTCATTATCTGATTATGCACAGAGAATGAATAATGTACAATGAGTGTACAAAACATTAAGAACACCTTCCCCCTTCTACCCTCAGAACAGGCTTAATTCGTCAGGACAAGGGTAGGTTGTGTCAAGTTGTCTGGATACGGGAAACTGTTGAGCTTGAAAAACCCAGCAGCGTTGCAGTTCTTGACACAAACCGGTGCGCCTGGCACCTACAACCATACCCCGTTCAAAGGCACTTAAATATTTTGTCTTGCCCATTCACCCTATGAATGGCACGCATACACAATCCATGTCTCAATTGTCTCATGGCTTAAAAATCTACTCCGATTGAAGTGGATTTAACAAGTGACATCAATAAGGGATCATAGCCTTTTTCTGGATTCACCTGGTCAGTCTGTCCTGGAAAGAGCAGGTGTTCTTAATGTTTTGTACACTCAGTGTATAATCACGGAAACTATAAGTAGATCAACTGAATAAAAGAGAGATACAATACGACTATGTGTTCTATTTAATTATGTGTAAAAGGAGTCTAACTAATTGCATGAACAATTACCAGGGATAAATACATTATCATATAACTATTGCATACTGTAATTTACATAATTTACATATTAGCTGAAAGACTCAACTCTCTGACTGAATATTCATATATGGTCCGCAGAGGGAATAGGAGATTGTGGTGTTCTTCCCATACTCCCTGTTTCCTCACACGGTTACCACCAGTCATATACATACTATATATTCATATATAAAGTGCCTAGTGAAAGTCTAAACACCCCTTGCAGTCTTCACATTTTGCTGCCTTAAATTTAAAGCTAAAAAGGAATTAAATTAGATGTCCTTTTCTACAGATCTACACAACCTACTCCACACTTTCAAAGTGAAATAAAAATTCTAGAACATTTTCCTAATGAATAAAAAATCCCTTTTTAGATTTAATTTTAAGGCAGCAAAATGTGAAGTCTGTACAAGGTGTGTGTAGACTTTGACTAGCGACTGTACATTATTCATTGGTTATCACATGACAAAGGACAGAGTGACCAGGCAGGCAGAGAGATGTTGGTTAGTTAGTTTACACATTAAACCCAAACCCATTCCCCCCTAGCCTGATTCTTGGATCTGTTGATGCTGTCTTGCCAACACCTATGGGCATTGACAGACAGCACAAACAGATCTGGTACCAGGCTACTCCTGTATGTCAGAATACTCAGAATACCCAGAATACCTGGCTGCGGGCGCGGGCATTCCGTCTTCCCCTGGAGCAGGCAGAAAACAGTGGCAGAAGCAGGATGAACAGAACAGACGGGAAGAGGCAAGAAAAACCACAACAAGGTTAGAGAAGCACAGGGGAAAAGATAGTGCGTCCAGAGAGAGGAGGTCAGAGGTCAAGCCTGAGAGAAAAGCCCCAGTCTGTGGAGATGGGGCGAGGTAGAGGACGGGGGAGACCCAAGCTTGAGGAGGCCATGTGGGATGAGGGTGGGTGGCTCTGGTGGAGGCTGGGGGGGGGGGGGGGGGTTGTAGGATGCTGGGACTGTGGACGACTGGCAGGAGAGGCTCAGTTTTTACAACAAGGTTGACTGGGGCAATTTGATTGATTATGACTGAGAATACATCTGAGGAGACGTTAGAAGGCGAGGCAATAGAACCATGACAGTCTGATACTAACAGCCCCACGGGCCTCCACTGCTGTGGTGTACACACTCTTTCTGTCAGTGTGCTAGTGTTGGATCCTGGCTTACACAGAGGATATATGGCCCTGTGTGTTTATTTTCATAGCCTGACATGCTTAGTGCTGGGCCAACTGGCCCGTCGCCAAAATGTGTCTAACATCTTGAGGTCAGGGTTCAAGTGCTAAAACATGGGCAGGAATGTCAAAAGCAAACCCCACATGACCAGAGTCTGTCTACGTCCGTACTTAAACAACCTTAAAACCCAAGATTTGTAGAATTGAGTACTCTTCTCCAGACCAGAGACAAACACTACCTTTCGCAACTATCAAGTCAATGCACTGTCCAAGAGAGGGGTCTTGTCATTTAGTCCATTTATTTATACAGCCATTGTGCCCTGCACAGGGCATTGAAGGAAGGCAAAGTCAATGAGCTGAGCTGAAGTTTGAGTGAGACAAAAAAGCAGTCAGACAGGACAGAGAGGTAGAACCCCCAGAACTGTTAGTAAAGACAGCTTACACACAGAGAGACCACATAGGGGCCAAATAAAGGGCAGTCAGTACCTTGATGAAGGCCTCCATATTGCCTTTAAAGAGTTTAAGATAAAAAATGGAGCGAGGTCTAGGCTTCCGCATTCTCCCGGGTTTAGGGGGAAGAGTGGGGGGCCTGATGCTGAAGGAGGTTGGAGAAGGAGGGGGAGGGAGGGGGGCAGATATACATTCACTATGATAAAACAATAAGGACTGAAACATGTATTTTATACTGTTTAGTCAATGGGATAATGTTTTTCTAGATATATTCAGTGCCATATATAGAGCCGCTATATACACTGAGTGTACAAAACATTAGGAACACCTTCCTAATGTAGAGTTGCACCCCTCACTTTTGCCCTCAGAACAGCCTCAAATCGTCAGGGCATGGACTCTACAAGGTGTCAAAAGCGTTCCACAGGGATGCTGGCCTATGTTGAATCCAATGCTTCCCATAGTTGTGTCAAATTGGCTGGATGTCCTTTTGGTGGTGGACCATTCTTGATCCACATGGGAAACTGTTGAGCTTGAAAAACCCAACAACGTTGTAGATCTTTACACACTCAAACCGGTGCACCTGGCACCTACTACCATACCCTGTTCAAAGGCACTTAAATATTTTGTCTTGCCCTTTCACCCTCTGAATGGCACACGTACACAATCCATGTCTTAATTGTCTTTTTTTTAACCTGTCTCCTCCCCTTCATCTACACTGATTGAAGTGGATTTAACAGTTGACATCAATAAGGATCATAGCTTTCACCTGGTCAGTCTGTCATGGAAAGAGCTGGTGTTCCTAATGTTTTGTACACTCAGTGTGTGTATGTATACATACACACACACACACACACACACACACACACACACACACACACACACACACACACACACACACACACACACATACACAGTGAGGGAAAAAAGTATTTGATCCCCTGCTGATTTTGTAAGTTTGCCCACTGACAAAGAAATGATCAGTCTATAATTTGAATGGTAGGTTTATTTGAACAGTGAGAGACAGAACAACAAAAAAATCCAGAAAAGCGCATGTCAAAAATGTTATAAATTGATTTGCATTTTAAATGAGGGAAATAAGTATTTGCCCCCCTCTCAATCAGAAAGATTTCTGGCTCCCAGGTATCTTTTATACAGGTAACGAGCTGAGATTAGGAGCATACTCTTAAAGGGAGTGCTCCTAATCTCAGCTTGTTACCTGTATAAAAGACACCTGTCCACAGAAGCAATCAATCAATCAGATTCCAAAATCTACACCATGGCCAAGACCAAAGAGCTCTCCAAGGATGTCAGGGACAAGATTGTAGACCTACACAAGGCTGGAATGGGCTACAAGACCATCGCCAAGCAGCTTGGTGAGAAGGTGACAACAGTTGGTACGATTATTCGCAAATGGAAGAAACACAAAATAACTGTCAATCTCCCTCGGCCTGGGGCTCCATGCAAGATCTCACCTCGTGGAGTTGCAATGATCATGAGAACGGTGAGGAATCAGCACATAACTACACGGGAGGATCTTGTCAATGATCTCAAGGCAGCTGGGACCATAGTCACCAAGAAAACAATTGGTAACACACTACGCCGTGAAGGACTGAAATCCTGCAGCGCCCGCAAGGTCCCCCTGCTCAAGAAAGCACATATACAGGCCGTCTGAAGTTTGCCAATGAACATCTGAATGATTCAGAGGAGAACTGGGGGAAGTGGGGCGGCAGGTAGCTTAGTGGTTAAGAGCATTGTGCCAATAACCGAAAGGTCGCTGGTTCTAATCCCCAAGCCGACTAGGTGAAAGATATGTTGATGTGCCCTTGAGCAAGGCACTTAACCCTAATTGCTCCTGTAAGTCGCTCTGGATAAGAGTGTCTGCTAAATGACAAAAAAAAAAAGTGTTGTGGTCAGATGAGACCAAAATCGAGCTCTTTGGCATCAACTCAACTCGCCGTGTTTGGAGGAGGAGGAATGCTGCCTCTGACCCCAAGAACACCATCCCCACTGCCAAACATGGAGGTAGAAACATGCTTTAGGGATGTTTTTCTGCTAAGGGAACAGGACAACTTCACTGCATCAAAGGGACGATGGACGGCGCCATGTACCGTCAAATCTTGGGTGAGAACCTCCTTCCCTCAGCCAGGGCATTGAAAATGGGTCGTGGATGGGTAATCCAGCATGACAATGACCCAAAACACACGGCCAAGGCAACAAAGGAGTGGCTCAAGAAGGAGCACATTATGGTCCTGGAGAGGCCTAGCCAGTGTCCAGACCTTAATCCCATAGAAAATCTGTGGAGGGAGCTGATGGTTCGAGTTGCCAAACGTCAGCCTCGAAACCTTAATGACTTGGAGAAGATCTGCAAAGAGGAGTGGGAAAAAATCCCTCCTGAGATGTGTGCAAACCTGGTGGCCAACTACAAGAAATGTCTGACCTCTGTGATTGCCAACAAGGGTTTTGCCACCAAGTACTAAGTCATGTTTTGCAGAGGGGTCAAATACTTATTTCCCTCATTAAAATGCAAATCAATTTATAACATTTTTGACATGCGTTTTTCTGCATTTTGTTGTTGTTATTCTGTCTCACTGTTCAAATAAACCTACCATTAAAATTATAGACTGATCATGTCTTTGTCAGTGGGCAAACGTACAAAATCAGCAGATTTTTTCCCTCACAGTATATATATATATATACACACACACACACACATACACACATACACACATACACACATACATACATATATATATACATACACACACACACACACACACACACACACACACACACACACTATCGTTCAAAAGTTTGGGGTCACTTAGAAATGTCCTTGTTTTCCATGAAAACATACATGAAATGAGTTTGAATAGGAAATATAGCAAAATGAATAGGAAATGTAGTCATTGACAAGGTTAGAAATAATGATTTTTAATTGAAATAATAATTGTGTCCTTCAAACTTTGCTTTCATCAAAGAATCCTCCATTTGCAGCAATTACAGCCTTGCAGACCCTTGGCATTCTAGTTGTCAATTCGTTGAGGTAATCCTGAAGCACCTCCCACAAGTTGGATTGGCTTGATGGGCACTTCTTACGTACCATACGGTCAAGCTGCTCTCACAACAGCTCAATAGGGTTGAGATCCGGTGACTGTGCTGGCCACTGCATTATAGACAGAATACCAGCTGACTGCTTCTTCCCTAAATAGTTATTGCATAGTTTGGAGCTGTGCTTTGGGTCATTGTCCTGTTGTAGGAGGAAATTGGCTCCAATCAAGCGCCGTCACAGGGTATGGCATGACGTTGCAAAATGGAGTGATAGCCTTCCTTCTTCAAGATCCCTTTTACCCTGTACAAATCTCCCACTTTACCACCACCAAAGCATCCCCAGACCATCACATTGCCTCCACCATGCTTGACAGATGGCATCAAGCACTCCTCCAGCATCTTTTTTGATTTGGTCTGCGTCTCACAACTGTTCTTCTTTGTGATCCGAACACCTCAAACTTCGATTCGTCTGTCCATAACACTTTTTTCCAATCTTCCTCTGTCCAGTGTCTGTGTTCTTTTGCCCATCTTAATATTTTCTTTTTATTGGCCAGTCTGAGATATGGCTTTTTCTTTGCAACTCTGCCTAGAAGGTCAGCATCCCGGAGTCGCCTCTTCACTGTTGTCGTTGAGACTGGTGTTTTGCAGGTACTATTTAATGTTTCTCAAACTAGACACTCTAATGTATTTGTCCTCTTGCTCAGTTGTGCAACGGGGCCTCCCACTCCTCTTTCTATTCTTGTTAGAGCCAGTTTGTGGTATTCTGTGAAGGGCGTAGTACACAGCCTTGTACGAGATCTTCAGTTTCTTGGCAATTTCTCGCATGGAATAGCCTTCATTTCTCAGAACAAGAATATACTGACGCGTTTCAGAAGAAAATTATTTGTTTCTGGCCATTTTGAGCCTGTAATCGAACCCACAATTGCTGATGCTACAGATACTCAACTAGTCTCAAGAAGGCCAGTTTTATTGCTTCTTTCATCAGCACAACAGTTTTCAGCTGTGCTAACATAATTGCAAAAGGGTTTTCTAATGATCAATTAGCCTTTTAAAATGATAAACTTGGATTAGCAAACACAACGTGCCATTGGAACACAGGACTGATGGTTGCTGATAATGGGCCTCTGTACGCCTATGTAGATATTCCATTAAAAATCAGCAGTTTCCAGCTAAAATAGCCATTTACAACATTAACAATGTCTACACTGTATTTCTGATGTTATGTTATGTTATTTTAATGGACAAAAAAATTGCTTTTCTTTCGAAAACAAGGACATTTCTAAGTGACCCCAAACTTTTGAACGGTAGTGTATATATACAGTGGGGGAAAAAAGTATTTAGTCAGCCACCAATTGTGCAAGTTCTCCCACTTAAAAAGATGAGAGAGGCCTGTAATTTTCATCATAGGTACACGTCAACTATGACAGACAAATTGAGAAGAAAAAAAATCCAGAAAATCACATTGTAGGATTTTTAATGAATTTATTTGCAAATTATGGTGGAAAATAAGTATTTGGTCACCTACAAACAAGCAAGATTTCTGGCTCTCACAGACCTGTAACTTCTTCTTTAAGAGGCTCCTCTGTCCTCCACTCGTTACCTGTATTAATGGCACCTGTTTGAACTTGTTATCAGTATAAAAGACACCTGTCCACAACCTCAAATAGTTACACTCCAAACTCCACTATGGCCAAGACCAAAGAGCTGTCAAAGGACACCAGAAACAAAATTGTAGACCTGCACCAGGCTGGGAAGACTGAATCTGCAATAGGTAAGCAGCTTGGTTTGAATAAATCAACTGTGGGAGCAATTATTAGGAAATGGAAGACATACAAGACCACTGATAATCTCCCTCGATTTGGGGCTCCACGCAAGATCTCACCCCGTGGGGTCAAAATGATCACAAGAACGGTGAGCAAAAATCCCAGAACCACACGGGGGGACCTAGTGAATGACCTGCAGAGAGCTGGGACCAAAGTAACAAAGCCTACCATCAGTAACACACTACGCCGCCAGGGACTCAAATCCTGCAGTGCCAGACGTGTCCCCCTGCTTAAGCCAGTACATGTCCAGGCCCGTCTGAAGTTTGCTAGAGTG